TTTATTATTTAGCTGGCAATATATTTGAATTACAAAGCGCAATTAACAAAAACGTCTTTCAAGTACAAAACTTTAGATTTCCGATGAAAAATAAATTTAAATTTGAGGTTTTTTCATTTGCAATATTATTATTATTGTCTATGCGTTTTTTGAAAAATACTTAGTAAGCGAAATTAAAAATTTATTTAAAGTATTATTTATTTTTGTTCGTAAAACATTTTATTTTTGTTAAAAACAAATTCTGTCCTATCAGCAGTTTTTAGATCATGCATGCTACCTACAGGCGATTTGAGTCTGATACCACTGATCTATGATAATATGTTTCTAGATAAAACCATGGGGTAGGAAGCGAATAGTGAAGATATCTAGAAGTTACTAGAGTGTCATAAAAATGAGCTTAATAAGAAAGATCTACAACATCTTCAGAATATCAGATGCACATTTGTTTTACGTAACCATACGATATCACCCTGATAAAGTAGGAGCCAGCTACAGCATTTCAATTACAACACCATTTTTCGCATTAGAAAGATCTTAAAACATAGCTAATAACAAATTCCATCGGACAAATTTTGAGAGAAGAAGAGCTGGTGAATCTCCAAAACAGTGGGACTTAGAGATAAATATAAGATAAAAGAAGCCTTCTAAAGATAGCTACTTGATAGTTTTATGGAAAAGAATTCCACCACCTTCTTTATCATTTCATACTTATGCCATCTACAATTCTTCGTGCAAGTGTAATAAATTAATCTTCCATCTGTTTTATCTGCTTAACGTTGCTTTTATCTTCACATTGTTTTTATATTTAATGATTTCCATTGGTTCTGAGTTATAGAATTGTGTTGTAAAGTTTAAATAAACAAACATACGTCGTCCAGGAACAAGACGAAGGGGCCTTTAGGAACGAATTAAATTCGTGAGCCGATACGTCACTGTGCTAATTTTTTTTTTTTTTTTCTGAGGAGGGAAGGTTCACGTTTTAGTAGATTTTACAATTACGTAAAGAAATAAGAAATCTGATTCTATTAAAAGCATTTAAGCGGACCACAAAATAAAAATTAAAATTAAAGTTCATGGCTCTAAAATTTCAGATAAAGTCGGTGTAAATAAATAAATAAATTTCATTTAAACAAATTTAGACAAAAAGTATGACTATATATGTAAGAGTACATATCATGAATTATTACACGTATAATGAGATGAAAAAGTGTGACTAAAAAAAAGGATACTTTTAAAAAATAAAGCCTGTAAAAGTTAATGTAAAGATTGTACCGATAGAAATACCATCATCTTTATAATATGAATAAACTGCATAGTTTTTATTTCTTACTATTCGGAAGAAAACAAATATTTTGAGATTTTTCAAGAAAATTTCATTTTTTTACTTATTTTGCTAGCCGTTTACGCGGTCAACAACCTAAAATAGCTATCATATAAAAGAGGAAATATGTAATGATTTTAATGGTCCAGTTAGTGCCATTAAAAATTGCTTATTCCGAATAAGATACCTCATCATTAAATTAATATGCAATTTAAATCGATGAGATCAAAAAGGAGAAAAACTATTCCTATAAACTACGTTTTTGCTTTTAAATTGCTTAGTTTTTTATTCAATAATTTATAGATTAATTTTGAAATTTACGCTGTATCTTAAGCTTTACTGAATGTCCACACGCGGCGTATGGAAGATAAAAAATATATTATTTTGGGCTGTAGCAACACACTTCTTTTAAATAGTTGACTTTGTTGAATAAAATTTAATAATAAATACCTTACACTTTGTCGAATGGCAATAATCTGGCGAACTGGACATAAAAATGTTTGAACAGATTTGATGACTTAAAAAGGGAGCATTACCACTGCTCCCTTTTTAAGTCACCGAGTTTGTTAATCGGAAACTCATTCTTTTCGTACAAAATATGAATTAATTTAAGAAATAAAACTCGAAATTCAATATTCGGATTTCGAGGGGTACATGTTTGGATGGTGGGCACTGTGTATTCAAAATCAGATGATCCTAGGTCCGTCGTTTTCAACAATGCGAGAAACACACATACAGGCATACAAACATGTATGCATATCTGCATATATACATACAGGCAGAGGTGGGGGATAGCCAGTATCTATGTACTACAGGTGATTGAGGTATTGCTTAAACTAGCTAAATGTTAAGTTTCCGCCACAATTCTGAAGAACACTCCAGCGGCGGTTCAAGAATCTCCAAACCCGCTTTCCCTACCTACAACCTCTCGACAGGACTTTCGACTTGCCGTGTATTTTGATTATTAGACACTATACGCTTACAAATTCCGTTTGGTTCATGTCCGTGGTCGGAAGCCATCATAGCGGTGCACTCACTCATTCACTCACTATACGCTTACAAACATCCATGCCTTCACCGTGATTCGAGCTCGGGCACATTAGTATAGCAGTCAGCATATAGCATTGGTATAGCAGTATAGCTATACCCATTGGTACAACAGTAACCACTATAGAGTCTGTGTCGCTCATACATACATGCGACATGCGATGGAGGACGTGGGCACCGTCCCTCTGCCAGTTGGTTAATTGGTAGCGCCACGTCCACTTTTATCTAGAGTTTGGCCAGAATAATTAGTTGCAATACAGGGCCAAACAAGGGCATAATGATACATTTGGATGCACATTTTACAGAGTTTGTGAACACAGATTACATTGAAAATTTAAGTACATTTGGTTACATTTTACATACATTATATACAAATTTAAGATAATTATATCATATACACTGCTTTCGTATGCATTTACTTATTAGGTTCATTAAATGGTGCTATTTACATTTATATTGCATTTACCTTATGATACATTTACATTACATTACCTTCACGTCTAAAAATAAACACTTATAGAAGGCTCATGCTATGCACATTGTTTACTGATTGCCTATGTGCACCACCTTTACAGATTCATTACTTGTGTTGTTTACATTAATATTACATTTGCATTACATTGAAATTATGTTGCTTTCATAATTAAGACATTTAACAGGCATTTACAAAACATATACACTGCTTTCGTATGCATTTACTTACTAAGTTCATTAAATGGTGCTATTTACATTTATATTGCATTTACCTTATTATGATACATTTACATTGCATTACCTTCACGTCTGAAAAAAAAAAAAAACACTTATTGAGGGCACATGCTATGCACATTGTTTACTGATTGTCTATGTGTCTATGTGCACCACCTTTACAGATTCATTACATGGTGTTTACATTAATATTACATTTGCATTACATTGAAATTATGTTACTTTCATAATTAAGACATTTATAACACATACACAGCTTTCATAGGCATTTATTTATTCAGTTCATTAAGTAGTGTTATTTACATTTATATTGCATTTACCTTATGTTACATTTACATTGCATTATCTTCACATCTAGAACATAAGCACTTAAAGAGGGTACATGCTATGCACATTGTTTACTGGTGCTCTCTACTGGTCAAACTTTATTTTCCGGACAATCTAATTCGAATTATTGCTTTTCTCCATGAGAGATCATGCAGCGTTCGCATAGGAAGCGCATACTCGTTGCAGAGGGCTATTAAAGCAAATGCACTCCAAGGCACAATTCTCAGTTCTTTATTATATAATACGCATACTTATCTCATCCGAAATCAAACTGCTATTCAATTAGCAGTTTTTGATGACGATACACCTACGCTAACACAGGCCAAACACTTGAAAATATGTATTGTCAAACTAAATAACAACAAAATTACACACTAATTTGGGTATCCCTTTAACTAATAATAAATAAAGTAACTCGTCTCACTGAAACATTATCTTTGAAAAATCACTAACCTGTAACAGCGGCTGAATTAGGATTCTCGTCAAATCACAAAAAGGAATGGGAAATGACTAAAATGCAAGGAACACGGTTAATCTGTCATTAATAATCGCACTTTCTTTTTCATTCATTTATTTAGTCATTAATTTAAATATTCCTGCAGTAAGTAGTCTTAGCTCTAAAGGATATCAAGGAAGGAAGGAAGTAAAAGGTTAATTGATTAACAAAATAAAAATACCGTGTAAAGCTGTGTTTTTTTACTGTCAATACCTAATATATATTTCATTTTTTCAGAAGGACTGTTGAAATGATATATATCAAGAAAATTGTCTCACAAGACAACTAGACTAGCGCAGATTTTTTTAAATATAAGTCTGTTGGTTTAGAAGGCTCACAGACAGAAGCCTCTTTCCTTAAGGAACAAAGCATTCTGCAGTATGTTTCCTTCTGAAAAGGAACATTTTTTCTTTCCTGCAGAAGAAGTATTTATTTCGCTCTTGAAATCAATAGAAATTTATTAAAAAACATTTTGCCGATGTAAGCATTTTTGGTCTAATTTACATATTTTACATTGACTCTCTTCCACTAAAATCATAAAAACACGTTTAGAAAATTCTCTACGTTATTACTTGATTATGTATGACAACTAGCCATAAGTTGAGAAGTTAATATACAAACATTCCGTCGAGTTGTTAGATTATTTTAGCCTGTTTGAATTACTTGAGCTATTTCAATCCTTTCCTTGAGGATTTTCTAAGGGAAAATGGGTCATACTGACATTAAACATGTGGAAAGGAGCAGAAAGCCACCATGGAGCTAGCCCGTTCATCAAGGTTCAAAATACCAGTATTCAAGAGTCTTACGCATTGTTAAAATATAAATTTAAGAAGTTATGTGAAGCATGAACTCAATTACTTGAGATTGCGTTAATTTATAAACACTGCTTTTACGGTGTGTTTTTGATATTTTAACATGAATTGAGAAATAATACAAAGGAAATGGTATTAATATGATCTTGGTTTAAAAGTGGGTGGCGAAGACGATGGGCAAAAGGTTAAAAGGATACGAAAACGAAACGATAAAGATAAGGATAATGATACAGAGGGTAATAAAAGTTGAAAAATAAATAAATAAATAAATATCTAAGATGTTACTTACTTCATCAATGTCCCACAAAACCACTTTAGCTCCGCATTCTGCCGCTTTGATCCCCAATAATCTGCCTATGCCTCTACCACCACCTGTGATAAGCATCGTTTCTCCTTTTAAGTCGCGCCGCTTTTTTCGAAACATATTGCCTATTGCGTCACATATAATTATATACATGACTTTGAGAAGTGAGAACGCTAAATCTTGAACAAAAACTGCCACATTTATAACATATTCGATAAGCTCCATTGCGCTGTTTACAACTTCTTAAGTGACTTTTTTTCACAAATGTTCGTGTGCTTCAGAAAGGATGGAGCACGAAGATGAAGAGAATGGAAAAACAAGTTCGAGCACCTCCAAAGAATGATGAGGAAAGGCAGCGTTTTAAAATAACCTCCTCAGATTGGTCAGAAAGGTTTAAAAAAAAAGTGGGAATTAAAAAAAAAGGCCTTGCATAAAATACTAATAAGGAAATTTATAATCTTTACAGATTTCCTTGTTAAACATTAGCTTGAGAAATATTTTATACTGTGACATTCCATGTTAAATAATTGTTGGCTTATGATGTACGCTAAGCATTTGTTATTGTAAGGGAAATAAAATAGCCTGATATATATATGAAATATTATTTAGAACTGAGTGCGAAATATATTTGAAACATAAAGCAGGGGAAATATTATATGGGCACGAAATAAAACAATTATTGAAATCTTTTTTATGTTACATCCATGTAACTGATGAAAGAAAGTGATGTGAATTTTACACGCACATTCTGCTAAAAAACTATTTAGGATGAATTTAAAATTAGTATGTTTTTTGTATGGTGTCCTTAACCGTCCTTTATTCTCGCAGGTTTTCACAGGTTTTATAATTGGAAGTAAACGTAGAGGTATACTTCCAATTATAAAAGAGTCTAAAATGGCACAAAGATTCAGATATTTTTAAATTTAAAGAAATCAGTTTCTTAAAAATTATAAAATATGAGTTTTTACACGTGTCTCTGGTCTTTACACTTATTTTTAAGAAACTTTGAACTTTTTATAAAACGTAAAAAGAAAAAAAAGTTTGAAAACATTAGCCAAGATATTTGGTGCTAAAATCGGAAATTATATTTACTTATACATACACGTACACAAAGTAAAAAGTGTCAGTTTGCATATGTACGAAACAAAAAATAAAATAGGAGTATGCAAAAACTTTTCTGATGTTCAGAGATTATATGACGAACATTTATATCTATGAAGTTTATTTTGAAAAGTATTGATCAATATATTTTTTTCCAAAAAGACATCTTCTCAGAACAAGCTGAGAAAAAAAAAAAAGCTAAACACTGGTAGGCTTCGGTACTGTCACGCAGCCAACTCGTAATGGCATTTGTATTAATTAAAAAAATATTTCTTTTGTATGATTACAGGATTATGATTTTAAAGGAATAAAATTTCATGAAGATAGTAATAAAAATATTTTTAGACTTTGGAAATTTATAATTGTGTGAAAATTGTTTCGGAATACCAAATGTAACAAATTTCTAAATTACAAACACTATTAAATAACTAAAGAATATCATGGAATGCCGTAAGGGAAAGAAAATCAACAAGGCAAATTGAAATGCTCTCAAAAATCGTAAATTTTAAAATTAAACATCTCGGATAGTTCTTGTCATACGGAAGTCAAACGTTTCACGGTTTACATTTTATACGAATGCAAAAAAGGAAAGGTTTTATAAAAAGTTAGATTTCTAAATTTTAATAAAGCTGATGTCTTTAAAATGTAATATTAAAAAATGCTAAAACACGAATTTTTTCGTTATTTAAAACATTTTTGTATTTTACGACCACGATCAAAGGTTTACGAAAACAAAGACAATATAAAGACTTCTGTGAACGCAGTGTGCAGAAGAAATTCATATCTCTTCTTTAATGAAGAGAAAAACAACTCTTGGCCGATTTTCAGAAAATTTTTCGGACACTAAATATAATCTAAATTATGAAAAAAGTAATTCTGCTAATTATTTATGTAACATATTTGTAAAAAAAAAACGGAACTGCGGCTAAGATTCTATCCCAGGGCCTCTTTACTTTGAAAGGCCACTGAAGTGAACTTTGCTATTGCTTTCCATAGTCGACATGCATACCGCAATTTCTACTTGGAATATCAGGTTTCTCTTAATTTGAGTTTGTTAAGTGCATTTCCTCAGTTGCTTTCTTTCAGCTCTAAACTAATTTACTAAGCAAAATAAATAAATCTGAACACACTGACCCTAATAGAGGGTACGTTTAGTTAACTCAGGAATATGTATACGCAAACTAAACGCATAATTTCGTCAGGAATACCGGACAGCTGAATAAACTTCAGTTTGCTCAAAATACCTCTCAGTAAACTCCACACGATGTCCCTTTAGTCTCTATTACATATAGAACTTAATTTACTTAATTCAAAAATAAAAAAGTGTTGTTCCTAAAAGAACAATTCAGAAAAGTAGAACGAAGAAAAAATAACGAAATTATATAAATATCAAAAGTCTGAAAATGACATTGCAAAAATATCTGTGTTATGGATAAATTGCATAAGTTCAATACCATTCAATCTAACTTTTTCAATATTAGAATTTAAGTATATCATATTATTATCGGAAGATTTAGTGTGTGGGTTCTCAGGTTACTTAAGAATGTAGCCTTCAAGTATTAATTCGAAGCTATTCAAAGCTATTCCGAGCCGGACTTGTGGAGAGCGATTTCACATATACGTGTTATCTTAACGGTTGTAGAGACATTAGGTTAATTGGAAAAGCCAGAGAGATGAAAAATTAGCAATCGCCTTCGCCGGGAATCGAACCACGGACCTCTGGAATACCAGCCCAACGTGAAGAATCACTACACCACGAAGGCACGCCAAGAAAGTGGAAGAAATACCTTATATACTCCCACTTTTAAAGGGCGACTGGAGTTTTTAGGGGACTCAATCGCCAAATCCTGGGTGTGGAAAGTCATCATCCATCACACTTTTAGTTCGGGCTCCACTGCAGGACACTAGCTTAATTGGAAAAGCCGGAGAGATGAAAAATTAGCAATCGCCTTCGCCGGGAATCGAACCACGAACCTCTGGAATACCGCCCCAACATGCAGAACCAATATACCACGAAGGCACGCTAGGAAAGTGGGAAAAATACCTTATATGGTTTCCATTTAATTTGTCCAACACTAGAATTTCATTCATATGCTGTTCAACGTTCATTCATGAATATTTTCTGGCATCAGCTATGGCCAGAAGTTATCAGCAACTTTAAATGATTTTCGTCGAATGAAAATAGAGAATAGACCTTGAAGGAATGGATGATCTTACAACACCAGCAGACAATGAAAGCATCTATAATGACCAAGATAAAGTGGCTTTAACTATAACGAAGTTAAACGAGTTGTTAGAAAAGGCACAGGACCTGATTTTGCAATGAAGAACCCAATGTAAAAGGGCAGTTTATGAGAGGCATCGAAAACTGTGCCTTTTACTGCGAGAATAGCATCAGTCATTGTCCCAGAAAAAATTATCAGTTTCTTAAAAAACTAATTGTATCACGTACTTGTTAAGCAATTGTAAATATATTTTCAATCACTATTTTTTCTTTTTAATTACAACAATACTTAGTTTAGTTTAAATTATGCATATTTTATTAATCTGAATGGTAATGAGGGATCCTTTTCGTCTTTTATGTCTACTGCAGATAGTGAGAATCTTTCTGCTCCGTTAATGGACAAGAGGAGCAGCATGGGATTGCCTAGAGGTACGGACGGCGCTTGAAAGATGTCTCCGTTCGGATGAAGTGTCTGAATTCTCGAAAGGTAGGTTATATTTTATTTCGTTGCAAGAGGTAAACGGATGCAATCGCTTTGAAGGAAAAAAAAAGGGAGGCCTGATTTGAAGTATGGCTCCATTTATTGTTTAAATGGTCCTTGGACTAGAAATTGAACAGAACAGTAGACAAACTTATTATTTTCTTGAGAGACGTTTAGTCGAGGTGCAAAAATGTTCGGAGATATCCCTTACGAACGAAATGAGAAAAATACTCTATTCGTCTTTCCTTGGAGCTATGTATAAAAATATGTGCGGCGCCTAATCTTAATTACTACGTAATTATAACTCGTTCGGAAGAGGTTGTGGAGGACTGTGATTGACCACAGTCCTCCACAACTCCACCATTTAAGTTCAAGTGAGACGGTACTACGTCAGAAGATTGCCTTTAATTAACAAAAAAGTTTGTAGTTAAATAGAAAGATTTTCGCTAAAATGACTTCCTTACTTTTTTAGGGGGATTATTCTTTTTGCTTTGAATTAGATATACGAAGGAAGAAAAAAGGAAGAAATTCGTGGATGATAAGTAGTAAAACTGTGTGTAGTTTTTTGAGGAGGAAAAAAATTATTGGAAATTACTTGGAAAAACAGACTGATAACTTTCTGCCTTATGCTGATGAAGTGCTCCGGTTTTAGACACATTTCAGAGACGACTGAGTAATAAAGGCTTCTGACCTACACGGAGGTAATGTTTCAGTTTTAGCACACGTTTCAGAGACGACTGAGTAATACAGACTCGTGATCTTCATGGAAATATTGTTCCAGTTTTACAGTTCCAGTTCAATAAATTGTGAGCGATAAAGCTTTCTGTCCTACACGGATGTTCCAATTTACAGACATTTAAGAAATGTCTGAGCGATAAGGTTTCTACCCTACACGAATGAAATGCTCCAGTTTTACAGGCGCTTAAGAATTGACTGTGAGAAGGATCCTACCCTACACTGATGAAGTGTTCCAGTTTTACTGATGTTTAAGAAAAGATTGAGAAATAAAGGTTCCTGCTGTGATGAACTAATGAACTATTCCAGTTTTACAGACAGTCAAGAAAGGGCTGAGCAATAAAGGTCCCTGATCGAGTTTGGACGATTTCTTCGCGTTCACAAATTATTACAAAAAGACTATTCCGAATCCATATTTAGCGGAACAGAGAAAACGACTCCCCACTACGAACAATAACGAACTATGTTAGAAATTGTAAGTGAACTGTGTTAAGGACAGATTTCATAAATTCATTTGCACGCTGATTAACGGAATATCCTTCAACATCGCGTAAGTTTGTTTTAGATCCGGATTCCCGAATTCTGCTCATGGAAGTATCCTTCACCTCCTCTTAGCTGTACAGTTGATTATGTAAATCTGAATTTTTTGAAGGGCAATATGTATTAAGGATTAGTTCTAAGATTAGGATAAAGTCATTATTTTGATTTTATTATGAATTTAATATGTTAATATGGTATTTAGGATTTTATATTATCTGTCTACGATAGTACAGTTAAAGAATTTTAAATTGTGTTATGTAAAGGGACCTGGGTGAATAATTTTTTGCTGTGTATTAACTGTCAAACTGAAATGGAAGACTGTTCCTTTATTGAACATTTTTTAAAAGGAGTGTTTACAAATATCTTTCGGCGCTTTGCATCATCACTAGGTAGATGTTAGGATTTACTGGTAAGATTTATCGAAATTTGTGATTTGACAGTAACATATACATATGCATTACGTATTTACGACTTAAAGCTACAGATATTTATATATACATTCTTGTGAAAAGTTTCTCTATATAGCATAAAAACATGTTTGATAGATCAGTAATACAAGTTTCCTGTTATCTTAAAAAATAGAAGATATTCTATTGGTTCCATAAATGTATGATGAATTTATCTTTTCTTCCGATAAAACAGATTGTTACAAGTGAAAAATATGTTAAGAAGTTTTATTTTTTATTTCAAATTTATTTGATGATACCTTGAATAACGTAAGCGTAAATTCCATGATGAAAGGGAAAAAATGATGCTGTTGATGTGCGGAAATAGAAAAAGCGATACAATCTCACTATTTCTTGGCATATGATAAAAGAGGGGATATACCTGTCATAACGGTATTGTGTGCGCAACATCCCTAGAAAATGTTATTGATTTTAAGAGCATATCTAAGCAGTATTTTGTATTCTTACGAATTTTGTACATAGATCGATAATTTTAGTGAAATTGTATGCGAAATTGTTGTATTTTTTTTTTTTTTTTTTTTTTTTTTTTTTTTTTTTTTGTTTAATGATAGATGAAACGCTTGGGAGAAACGAAGCTTTTCCGGAAAAATAAGAATACAGGGGCAAGTCTATTTAACATTGAGTAAAGGGCTATCTCATTAATTTGACGAGAAATCACCAAAAGTCGCCAAACTTGGCCATCATTTGACGACATTTTTGTCTGATCCCTGTATAACTGTAATGGATATTGCAATCGAATAACTGTAATTAATTCCTATACTAGCTGTAACCGTATCCGACTTTCATATGCCTTCCAGTAATTTTGAGAAGCAGAAAGTACTAGAGATTTCTTGACGGCCAGGGGAAAACAATATTAGACCGGAGAGAACAACAGTTTCTCAGTTATTAGTTGTTTAGTCGACTACAGAACCTTGAGATATCCGTGAGAGCTTCGCCTTTTAGATGCGCTTTGCATTGTATTGTGTTTAAAGTTCTTACTTTGAAGAAAGTGTTACTTTGAAGTGTAACTGCTGATTGTACTTGTTGATATTATGAAGAGCTGTACAACTATTTTTGTGGAAAGTTCTAGAACTGTGAAGAGATTTTTTGGTAAAATAAATTTTATTAAGCTATCATCGGTTCTGTGTGCATACAATCTATTACGAACCCGTACGTACGCGACAGTATTATGAAATAGGAACCCAGAAGAATGATGGCTGAAAATCTTCGCTGGATTTAGTTGTAATACGGAAGTAACTGGAATACTGAATATATTCTGGGTTACAGCCGAAAACATCGCGGACGAAAACGTCGCGGAGAAAACAACGAAAGGCTAAAACGTCATGGTACAAAACATCGTGGGAGAAAAGAAAGCAAAGAAAAATCATCGCAGTTCTAAAACATCGTGGTCGAAAATAAAGCGGTTCAAAAACTTCGCAGTTTAAAAACATCATGTTTGAAAATATCGGGGTAAAAAATAACGTACCTACAGATCATCGCATGACGATTACATCGCACACATGCGTTTTTCAGTTTTAAAAGCTGCATAAGCTGTATAAATGCATATTCGCATAATAATTTGAGAGCGCAAGAAGGAAAGACGGATATTTTTACTTTTGCATTTCATATTTTTGAATGAACTAATAAATTTTTGTTAAAAAAGTAAGTATTTAAATTTATACGGCTAACATAACAATTTAGAGTTAGGTAATCAGCCTATGCATGCGCTATTATTCTGAAATTATAATCATTTGCATATTATACTCTGCTCTGCATTTTTTGTAAACTTCAGTTTATTTGCATGATTTTTTCATGATGTTGAAGTTTTCATAAAAAGGAGTGAGTATATCTCTTTTTTAATTGCGTACAAATTTAAACATAATCCCCTTCAGTTTGTATATAACCTTTGTCTTTTCAGAAAGCACAATCTCAAACTTTAAATATCGTAGATATAATGTAGTTTGTTGTATAATATAAATATAGTTTGTTGTATGTAAGCCAAACAACAAACTATATTTATATTACACAACGCTTTACTGTTTTATTTTTCAGAATAAGCATAAACTCTTAACTATAGGGATGGAGGAACAGTATAAAAAAGTAACTGTTACAGAATAAATATTTGTTTTAAAATTTAGAGATACCAGAACATGGTATTTAACATTTAACATGGTATTTAACATTTAACATGGTATTTAACATTTAACATGGTATTTAACATTAACAGGTTTTTGTACTACAAAGTATGAACCTGCGATCAGCTGTTTCAAACAACAAAAGGCCGAACAGGGACTTTTAGGACATAGAATACACTGAAATGACAAAAGTCATGGGATACCTCCTAATATTTTGTCGGTCCTCCTTTTGCCCGGCGAATTGCAGCAACTCGACGCGGCATGGACTCAACAAGTCGTTGGAAGTCCCCTGCAGGCATATTGAGCCATGCTGCCTCTATAGACGTCCATAATTGTGAAAGTGTTGACGGTGCAGGGTTTTGGACACGAACTGACCTCTCGATGATGTCCCATAAATGTTCGATGGGATTCATGTCGGGTGATCTAGTGGCCAGATCATTCGCTGGAATTGTCCAGAATGTTCTTCTAACCAATCGCGAACAATTGTGGCCCGGTGACATGGCGCATTGTCATCCATAAAAATCCCATCGTTGTTTAGTCCATGAATGGCTGTAAGTGATCTCCAAGTAGCTGAAGGTATCCATTTCCAGTCAATGATCGGTTCACTTGCACCAGAGGATCGAGTCCAGGCCATGTAAAAACAGCCCAGACCAATATGGAACCACCACCAGCTTGAACAGTGCCTTGTTGACAACTTGGGTCCATGGCTTCGTAGGGTCTGCGCCACACTCGAACCCTACCATCAGCTCTTACCAACTGAAATCGTGACTCATCTGACCAAGACACGGTTTTCCATTCGTTTAGGGACCAACCGATATGCTCACGAGCCCACGAGAGTCTCTGCAGGCGATGTCGTGCTGTCAGTAAAGGCGCTCGAGTCGGTCTTCTGCTGGCATAGCCCAAGGAAGACAAATTTCGCCGCACTGTCCTATCGGACACGTCCCTCGTACGTCCTACGTTGATTTTTGCGGTTATTCGACGCAGTGTTGCTTGTCTGTGAACATTGACAACTCTACGCAGACGTCGCTGGTCTCGGTCGTTAAGTGCAGGTGGTCGGCCACTGCGCTGTCCATGTGGGATGTTATGCCTGAAATTAGATACTCTCGGCACACTCTTGACACTGTGGATCTCGGAATGTTGAATTCCCCTA